CGTTTCATTACGAATTATGAACTTGTAGGGAGAAAAATACAGAATACTTACTCCAAAGCTTGAGCAACACCAAGAGCAATCTGGAGACGGAGTCCCCAAGACAGAGGCTTGTAAGCATCACTGTGAAGAGCATCATCAAGGGATAAATTTTTAACATACTCGTAGACAACAAGATGCTGTCCATGCTCTATGCAATAGCCAACAAGTGGAACTATGTTTGGGTGCCTTAAACGTGAAGCAGTCCCTATGACATCCAAGAATTGTTCCTCTTCATTGAAAGACAATCCTACAATGTTGATGTTCTTCACAGCCAACGTCTGTAATCAAGGTATAACAGTCAAATAATTCTACCGAGTTTCATAGGAGTTTTATTTCTATAAGGTGGAAATAACTATTCCAAGGTTATTTCAGGTTTATACCTGGCCATCAGGAAACACAGCTTTGTAAACCGAACCAAGAGATCCTTCGCCCAGAAAGTTTTCTTCACTAAAGCTGTTTGTAGCTAATTGAAGCTCTGCCACAGTGTAACGTTTTGCTCTCACTGGGTATTTGTATTTATCAGAGGAACTTTTTCTTCTAGTATTTTTCTGCAGTTTGCTATGGTAAACTGGAGCCAGTCGCCTTGGAAGTAGCATTGGTGACCTGAAGGGAAACATTGGTGGGCTTTCTTCTGCAATAGAAGAACCATCTGTAACCAAAGGAGGAAACAAAAAATTGGAAGAAAGAAAGATTAAAACACACGAAGTGGATTAAAACTTCACATGTCTATTGTCTGTTTTTATAACTCATATATAAACACCATGTGGACAAACCATACACAGATGCTATCACCTAAGTTTTCACTATTAAAGCTACAATGAAACTAATCAGTGAGATGATACCATATGTTATCTGGTAAATATTCTGAACTTTGAGATTGAGTCTTAACAGTTGACTCATTTAAATATTCTTTGGACTTCACTAGCACAGGAATACTCCTTAATTGAATGCGATTGGCAAGTACCACATTTCAGGGCTGTTGATGACTTTGTTTCATTCTATTGAGGAGAATTTGTTAACATCAATCCCAAATTTCAGTAACTTTACACCGACCAGCCAGTTCAATTTTTTTCGTAATTATGATGTTTGGGTGTGCGTGTGTATGTGTCTACTTCGATTGTTTACTCAACATTATATCCATTATCACTGTGCAAGTGAGTGAGAACTCACCTCTGGCACTGGTTCTTATCGGGAGTGAATTCCTTGAGCTGTTACTTCCCCCCAAGATTATAAGCCTCTGTGTACGGGATTGATTAATGCGAACTGCAATGTAAAGTGCCACACATGATGCCACTAGAGTGCCTCCACCAACCAAAAAAGCTATTCCTCCAGGACTCATCCTTTTCTTCTTGTGTCCTCCTAGTTTAATGGGAGGATTCTTCTCAATGGCACTTGACTGAGTGGCTGGGGTGGCGGGGGTGGCAGGGGGCGCAGGAATGTTTTGTATGACAGAACTTGCCTGTGTTTCCAGAGGAAAATCCCAAGGTGGAGAGTTATCCCCTACATGAAAAATATTACCCCCAATCCTGAAAGGAAATCAAATCTACAATGTTTAGTTCTTTTTTTCTTTGCAGGCAAATAAGGAGAAGTACTCACAACTGATCACCTACCATAAATTTGGTATGGACTGAAAATGATTTGGAATGATGCCGCTGAAATAATTATCTTGTATGTTCCTGCCAACAGAAAATGTGCCAGCAAGAAATTAAGACAAAGGAAAAAAGATCAACTAAATGCAAAACGCTGCTAAAGGCAGGTAGGTAGAAACCTACAGATCAGTTAGTGGAAGCTCGGCTAGATAGGCAACTGATCCAGTGAATTTATTATTCTGCAAGAACCTGCAGATGCACCCATGGACATGTAACTACAGAAATACATTATACCAAGCCGTAAAACACTGCAAGCGGGCGGAAAGGAATGAAAACTCACAATCCAGTGAGATTTGTCATGGAACCAAAAGAACTTGGTAGATCTCCAGTGAAGTTATTGTATGACAAATCACTGCATAAACCAAACTCACAAATAAGAAATGGATATTGTCCAATGACAATATTTTAAATATCAAACAGATAATTTCATCAAATGACAATTATGCTCTGCTTCCCTTCATTTAAGATAAAAGAAAAGTCAAAACCTCTGATATACCAACACAGAAGACTAAAAGTTGTGGGAATTTTATATGACATTTTATTCCACATCAACTTAGAGAATCAAAGCTAGAACCTTATTTCAGTTTCACTTAGAAATTAGAATCCAACATTAAAAAACTATGTGAAAAGAAACGTACAGTTCTCTTAAATTTTGTAGGCCGGTAAATACATTGCCAACAGGTCCCGATAACAAATTGTGGCTTAGATTCCTGGAAGAAAGGAACATTTCAGTTTATCGCAGAATAACCAAGAACCCATAAACCAGTAAGATAACAGTCCGGAACAAGCTACTCACAAATATCGGAGACTTTTCATGGTAGGTAAAGAATGAGGAATATTTTGGGTCAAATAGTTGCATGCCAGATTTCTACAAGTGCCGAATTATAAAAATTAGAAGGGAGTAAAGAGAACCCAATTTGTGGAATTTAACTAAAGAATTGTATGCGGCAATGAGCTAACATCGTACTTACATATGGGTGGCATTGGGGGGCAAGACATAAGGAATTTTACCCACAATGTAATTGGAACTAACATCCCTTTAAGAAGAAGAAACCAGATGAATATTTAGATTCAGCAACACTTGTGTATTCAAAGTAAAAAGACCACAAAATGGTCAGTCAGTATCACTTACAGTTGCTTTAAGTTGAACAAACTGTAGAGCTCCTCAGGAATATATCCAGAAAGGTTCAGACTATGAAGCTTGCTGCAATATTATTAAGGTGATCAAAGAAAAACTAAAGTTTTGCACATAGTTAATAATATAGTGAATGGAAGAGTTGCATTACTTACAGGTATATCACAGAGGACCCCGAACATGAAACTCCATCCCATGACTCTTCACAAGGATCCCCTCCATCCAATCGCCACCCCTTCAGCTCCTGTGGGTTGTTAAGGGCCCGGTAAAAATAATGAAGAGCCGTGACTGCAATGCACAGAGTACAATTATGAGGTAAATTTCATGTTTGGTTCCCCGGAAAATCTAGGGTAAGTACTAAGAACCATAAGACTTACTTTTGTTCTGGGTTTGTTAATTTCCTGTTTGGTTCCCTAGAAAATCTAGCGTAAGAACCATAATTGTATACCGGAAAAAAATTGCATGATTTTCTTAGCACCCAAACAGGAAATTGAACCATTATTTCGATTTTTAGTGACCACAATACCCTGCAAAGCACAAAGACTGCTACATTTTCCTATTTCTATACGGTATCTACAACGACAAGTCGTTTTCACAAACGACAGTTCTGTTTATTTTCCCGCCAAAGCGGTCGCCCAATTTTCTATCCAAAAGAAATTACGACAAACTGTAGGAGTTTCCAACCTTTCTGTTTGGTTACTGATAAATCCCTGGAAAACTAAAACTTCTATTCCTCAAATTAACAAATTAAAATTAACACTCCGTTCTTCCCTTTTTAATATAATCGTCAAGCATAACAGAAAGTTTATAGGTTCGGATTCTATCCTATCTCTCTAAGCCTTTCTCAAATTTCCCTACACTTTCTCGGCAACCAAACAGGAGATAACGGACCTCCAAAACAACGAACTTCATCAACTTTCCAGTGACAAGACTCCATATATACAGAACGCCAAGAAAATCAACAAGTAAAGAAATGATAGGAAGAAAATCAAGACTAACCGTCAAGCGGATCGGTAAATGCTCCGGCGCCGGAAACCAGAACCGACGAGATGAAAATTACGGCGAAGCACACGCACACACTCCTTTTGGCGGCCATATTCTCGAAGAATCCAACTGCAGCAATCAACCGGAAGGAAAACCGTCAGAATAACCTGAACGAACTGAAAGCGAAAGTGAATTTTCTTTCATTTTCCCGCATTTTCTTGGCAACCAAACGGAACAGAAAGTGCGAAGAAAGACAGCATTAATGACCGAAACGCAATGAAGAATACATTTCTGGAGACGAAACCGACGTCGGAGTTGTGAATTGAAATGCAGAAAAGCTATGGTTTGTAGATGACAAGATGTACGTGTGGAGGAAGCAACGGGTACGGAGAGAGAGCAGAGAGGGTTTGGAATGCGTGCTGTGGAGGATGCAGAGAGCGAGAGAGAGAGAGAGAGAGAGAGAGAGAGGAGAGCGAGAAGAATGTCTTAACGAGTCGTTGAGTGGTTGGAGTCCACGTAGGCACAAAGCCGTTTGGTTTCGTTTCTTCGCGGGGGCCGCTTCTTGGGGTTTGTTGGAGTACTGGGCCTAAATAAAAGGCCGGGCACAAGCCCAAAGTATTGGGCCTGCAGAAGTTTAATTTTCTATGTTGCTCCGAAATCTCGGATATTTTAGTCTTTTTAATTGTTAGTACATTTTGGTTTTATGTTTTTGTATTATAAATCTCACGGTTAAAATTTTCAGAATATTATATATTTCGAATATTATTTTGTATTTTTAACATCTAAAGGTGTTCATGAATTTCATGTTATTGCTCAGAGTTTACGTTTTTTATTTTACTTGATCACTTTCTTTCATGTCTTCTACGGTGTGACACATTTGTCAATAATGTAATCAATAAGTAAAATTCAGCTCCTTGTGCAGAAAAAAAATGTTTAAAAATTTAAGTATGCTAACAATTTTAAAAAGATATTAGTTCAACAACATTAAGGAGATTGTTACGGGCAGAGTAAAATTTCTCATAGCCTCTTCGAATCAGATAAAAGTGAACAACCGTAAATTCTCACTAGTTGTCATTTTTTTTTTGAATAATTATTAAATCTGCCCTTGTTTATAGTTACAGAAAACGAAATTTTATTCGCAAACATGTCAAGGGGTACTATAGTAATTAAATGTTTGGAAAAGGAAGAAAATAATACGAAAATCCTTCAAGATCGCTTACTGGTTTTGATTTTGCTTGGCGAACGTGCTCGACAGCTCTCTGGCTATGGCGGAAGAAGATGATTACATGGGCGACCTCTCTCAGTTCCTCACTCCAGAAGTCACCAGCCCTCCAAAAGCTTCATCCAAAATGGTACGCTTGCAAGCTTAATTTTCTGTTTGGTTCCCTAGAAAATAACGCGGAAGAATCATAAAACCTAGTTCTGGGATTGTCATTTGTCAACCAATTTATCTCTAAAATGGGCGTTGGGTAATCCAAAGGATTAGGTACATCGAAATGGAGCATGGGTTTTGTGTGTTTTAAGCTAATTCTTGGTTTTGTTGGTGAACAAAATCTCGAACTGTAACTTATCTATCTATATTTTCAGATTTTGAATACCAAAAACCCAAGTAATTTTCAACCCTCGAACAAAAAATCTAAACTGCTAAACTGGCAAGAACAACGTAAAATCGATAGGGAGCGAAAGCAACAGGAAGAGGATGAGAAAACGTTGGCTAAAATAGAGACTGCTCCAATTCCACAATCCAACATTGGATTCAAACTTTTGAAGCAAATGGGGTATACCCCGGGTTCCGCACTTGGTAAGGAGGGCTTGGGCCAGGCTGAGCCGGTGAAGATTGACATTCGGCGCTCACGGGCTGGGATTGGGCGGGAGGATCCGCATAAGGAGAAGAGGAAGCGAGAGGAGATAAGGACTTGGGCGGAAAGGAGGACCGAGGAGGCTATGATGGAGGAGTTTGGGTCTAGGCAGAAGTCACAGTGGCGGAACAAGAGAGTTGTGGTTAATTTTAAGAAGGCACAGGCAGCGTTGGATCAATTGGAGAATAAGGAAGTTGTGCCTCCGGAGAAGAATGAGAACGGGGAAGAGGAAGGGGGAGAGGAGGAAGAGGAAGAAGAAGAAATTACAGAAGAGGTATGTTTCTTGAATTGTATGTGTTTTCTTAGACTATAACGTGTTTAAATGAGCATCTTTTTTATGCAGTATGTATGTATGACTGAGTTTAGCTCTAAGGCATAGTTGACAAGCATAGCCAAGAACTTAAATTAGATGATTTCAATGCAAATTAGAAATTCTGTTTACAGTGTTCATCCAATGGGAATTGCATTGTATATATAAAACGTAACTATTTCCCGCTGAATGTGTACTTGAAATCCTGAATTTATAGTACCCAAATGTAAAGAAGCTAAAGCACTTCCTTGGAGGTGTAAGGTTGAAATGTTCTTTTAAATTGATACATGACATTGTCTTGGAGGCAAAAGCACATGGGTGTTAAATGTACGGAAAGCCAAGAAGGCTTCAACAGAGAGTAATCAGACAAAGGCTTGTTTGATGGAGGAATTCCTAAGCTGTGCAAAATAGATTCTCTCCCAAGAAATTTAAAGTCGACTAGGAAGCATAGATTGTAAGTTTTTGCTAAGTAGGACAAGAAGGAAGGATACAAGTGCCCGATCTTTCGTTATTATACAATTTTGATTGTGAAATTATTGGCATAATAATTGGGAATCTAGTCTACAAAGCCCAGCATTAGAATTAGATTCTTAAAAATTGGCATATGAACTGATACTTCTTAGTGGGTTTGATAGTATCAGGTTGTCAAACTCTAGTGCCCTGGCTTGCAGTTCCAAGCTGCAACAATTGTACAGATTCGTTGGAAGTCCCTAGGCTGCAAAAATTGTATCGGAATCAAATCATCCCTTTTTTTAATTTCCAAAGTTTATCTTTTATAGCTGAACTATTTTGAAAGATGCTTGATTAGATATGCTTATGTGAAATTCAATTCTGCATATTATAATGGGTGGATTGAGATTGTGTGTGCAGATAAAGTGTAATAATACCTCCAAATTGATGTCAAAGTCTTATCTGACAGTGTACTTCTATTATCATCCAAGAAATAAGTTTGTTTAAGCCTGATACTATTTGCTTTGCTTCTCCAGTTGTTCTGTATCAGTTTTTAGTATGAGGAGGCTTTCATGGTTACGTAGAGTTCATGTCTTTTGGAGACTCTGTTGGTATTTATGAAAGACTGTGTCACGTTATTCGGTTACGTTGTAGTTAGTTCCATCTCTCATGAATTAGAAATTCTGAGAACAAGTCCAGTCATCTTTGAGTTTCATGAGATAACATGATAAAGAAAGTTAATATTGTCCTTTTCTTGTTTGCACTCTTGTGGCTGTTATATAATGTTGAATGTTGAATTTAAATCATGTCTTGCTGAGTGTGGCATTGGTTTACCTTAGGAATCAAATTTTTATTATCTAGCTTAATGTTCAAGTGGAGTCTCATGTTTTGGTGTTTAGGGTAAACTTTGAGGACATGTTAAAAGAACATTATACGTAGTAACTAGATGTGAGGGTTTCATCTCTTAAAAATTTAACCACCAAGAGATAAATTGGGGAAATCTTGGCTGATAGCATCCAGATTTCTTTTTTTTAAAGTTTGCTTGCTAGATTCTCGTCGTTTGTGTAGCAGGCATTAGGTCTGTTTCCAGGCCTTGTAGGCTTGTTATGTAATTGCATATGGGTTGAAAACGGTTCATTCTGAGTCAAGTCTTTTAAGACTTGTTGGGTGCAATGTTTCCGCTCCTTTTCTTGACATGCTGTGATTATGTTGCTTGATATTGCTCGGGAAAGTTGACTTATTAGTTATCCTTGCTCTGTGCTGCAGGATTTACATGAGATATTGATGAAACTGAGAGATGAACATAGGTACTGCCTCTTTTGTGGATGCCAGGTGAGCGTATTTATCATTTGCATTCCAAAATAAAATTTATGCTGAAATAACTTGTTTGCAACTGTGAATCGCTATTAATTCATTTCTGATGGTCATGTTATGAACCGTGCTCTTTATTTCAGTATGAATCAACGGAGGCACTATTGTCGTACTGCCCTGGAACTGAGGAAGACGACCACTGAACTAAGTTCCCTTATGCATGGACCCCCAGAACGTCTTCCTTGTTGGACAAGATAATTCCAAGCGGTAATGCAGGTCTTCTTTTGAGATGGATGCACTTTGCTTGCAATGGAGATATCTTTCCTTATTCTTCATCCAATTGATCCGGAAGTTCCTAAGATCTGACGTGCAACTTTCTGAGTCAGAAACCCGAGTGAAGGCACAGAAGTTGGTAACGAAGAAATTGAATTGAATGTTGGAGCAGCTAAACCCACATAACTACTAGGTTAGGGAAATCCCTATACTCTAGACCTCTGAGAGCATTATTTGAATTAGCTCCCAAGTCATAGTGTGTGGATATGTATAGCCCCAAATACAAGAGCCGAAGTTCAACAATGTAACTGTTGAGTATTTTATTGCCCATACTATTATTTAAAATTATTCTTTCGTTTGTAAGAGTTGGTTAAGAGCATTTTCCGTTTTACTCGAGGTCCCGAGTTCCAATCCCTCTGCCCAGTATCGTTATGTTTGTAATATTTTGATCAACGAGTCCAACACCCAGTTAGTATTTAACTCATCACACCCATCCAATTCCATAATTTATCGAGTAGTTTCATTGACATTTTACATTTGTTAAGACGCGTAAAATTTCAATATTTAATGACTTACATGTCATAATATGAAACGACCATTTAGATCCTGAAAGCTTAAATAATATTTTGTTTTGGGAATACACCCAACAAATACAACCTTATAACCAACATCTCGAGATTTTTTTCTCAAAAATGATGTTCTTACCATATTTTTCACATCACATTTGTACTCTCTAATAGAGATGGGATCTACATGTGTTGGTGGGTCCTACTTCTATTAGGGAGAATGTACAAACATAATGAGCTTGCACCAAGTTCGGCTCATCGAAGCTCGACTTGTGAAAGAAACAAGCCAAGCTTATGTTTAGATCAATAAGAAACAAGTCAAGCTTGAAAATTGGTATGTTCAGCTAGTAAAGTTCGTCAACAACTTGTATTTTTTTGTGAGACAATTCAAACTAGCTAGATTTATATCGGGGAAATCTGCTTGGATTGAACGGTTATGTTTGTAAGTTTGGATTGGCTAGCCAAATATAACAATGATCATCAGTTTATCACAAACTGCATGTAGGCTCATGGTATCCAATTGGCGGCACACTTCATCAAATTCAGTTTAAGCTGTCCAAACTTAATAAAATCACTTGAGTAAAAAGAAAATTTTCTTACAAGTGGTGGATTCCTCCGGTGGTTAGGGTTTTCATCTTCAACCCACTACCTTTCAAGTTCAAACCCTCCTCCTTTTCCCATTAGCATAAGTATTTGTCAATTTCCTTTCCCTTTTACTATTCAAACTCCTACTCCGCAATGTATTTGTTGACTGAATCCAGTACGGGTTCTATTTAGTTTCTAGTAGACGAAATCCTATATAAATAATACTGGTACTGCTAGGGTTTTGGACCAAAAGGCTCTTCTCGATCGGTATTGCTAGCTGCTTGTTGCATGTTTGGAGGCAAAATGCAGGAGCGTGATGAGTCGGTTATCATCAACGGTGAGGTTAACCAAGGAAAACTATCCTTGATCAAGTGTTTACACCAAGATGTCCTAGTAGAAATTCTCTCAAAACTACCTGCAAAGTCTTTGATTAGATTTTCATGTGTCTCAAAAGCGTGGTATGCGCTTACCAAAAGTTCTTATTTCATTGCTAGACACCTTCATCGCTCTGCTATCAATCCTTTTGTTCTCCTTGTTTCGGGAGTTAGCACTGAAAAATATAAACCGAAATCACTTGGAGTCGCATTGCTTTGTGACGAAGAAACTCCACTTTTGAGTTTGGATTTACCGTTTCTCCCGAACTATGCAAGCTTTAACATAGTGGGATCCAGTAATGGTTTGGTTTGCGGTATTGTGCGAATTTGTAATGAGACGCAGGAGGAGGAGGAGGAGGAGGACGACGACGACGACGACGACGAGGATGAGGAGGGGGACGAGGGGGATGAGGGGGACGAGGAGGAGGAGGAGGGGGTCGAGGAGGACTATGTTGATTCAATAGTAGTATGGAATCCAGCAACAAAACAATTTAGGTATCTTCCGGAACCTGTTCTTTTCTCTCACAGACGGTGTCCTCAACGTATATGGGATGGTAAAAATGATCCTCTTCTAGGTTTTGATTTCGTACGAGAAATAAATCAATACAAAGTGGTGAGAGTTCTCCCGACACGTAATGGTGATGATGGAGAAATAGTTACTTTCGAAGCCCAAGTGTTCCTCCAGAGTACAAATTCATGGAGAGAAGTCGAAAACAAATTGGAGTTTCCATCATTTAAAAGATGTTTCACTAGTTGGGCGATTACCTTGAATGGAGTCTTGTATTGTTTGGTACTGCAGACGGGGTACGAGCTCGCTATTCTTTCGTTCAACTTACACGACGAGGTTTTCCATGTGATGCATCTGCCAGGAGAATTGCAGGATTTCAAGCACCTGGCACCATTATTCTCATGGAATAATTCAGTTGCAATTCTAACAACTACGTCTTCATTAGATGATGAATATTACGACCAAGTGCTTTGGGTGATGAGTAGTAGCACTACCACTGCGACGACCAAGCCAGCTTGGGTTCGACAATTGATAAGCAGATCCAAAGCATTTGCAGCAGGACGCTTGTTTGTAGGTGTATGGAAGGATCAACATATTTTACTCACAAGAAAACAAACACACGAAGAAGAAACAAATGATGTTGTGCCGCCGGAAAACTTGTTCGTGTATGACCCTAGAAGTGAGACGCAGAGAAAGATTCTCAATCATGGAGAAATGAACTTGTTTGGTATCGGAGTAAATTATGTGGAGAGCCTAATTCCTGTCTAGATCGATCACTTTCTCTCCGTCGATCAACTTAGGTGATCAATGCCGTACGTGGGATATGTGGATTCCTCTACTTAAGCTGCTCTTTGCATTTCATTTACATTTAGATTATTTCCCAGACTGTTCTACTGTAACGAAAGAATTTATATGTACGAGACTAATCCCTTGTACAAATCCAAGTGGATCCTAGAAAGCGTTGTAAGTACTTCCTGCAAGAAGCAGATATTTGGTGCTTCTTCCAAAAAGTACTTAAAAGTGCTTTTAGAACCCAAAATCACCAAAAGCGTTTTTAGTCATTTTAAAAGCATTTCTAAACGAGCTCATAATTTCATTTGATTGTAGTTGATCATACATTTGTACGGCCGGCTCAGAATTTCCCTTCACTTTCCTACCAAAAGACAAGCAGCACATCCCTCCTCAGTCTTTCTTTTTCCCAAAGCCCTAGGGCTAACAACAAATCTTTCGAGCATAAATTGTAGCGAGTGGCTTCCGCACTCCTCATTCCCTCTAGTACCACATGACAATGCCAAACGGTGATACTAACTAATCAAATCGAGGCACGTAAATTATTGAGATGTGAATCAACAGAATCAAAGAATTTGAAGAAAAAAGAAATGCACAATGAGAAAATGAGAGCGTGAAAATCACTTCTCCCTTTGAAAATTTGTTGGTCCACTTCAGCCTGTCAAAAAATAAATAAAAATAAAAACACAAACCACTAATAATCACAAGGATATCCAAAATCCAAACATTAGCTTTATTGCTAGGTAGGAAGTTCAAGCCTTGAAGGCTAACCTAGATTATGATAATATTCTTCTTAATTAGTCTTTTAACAAACAGCATAGTCCGTTCAGGGTTCTACCATTCAAGACATAAAACCTGCAAACAGAATCCATAGTTTTTAAAGTGACCAGTTCATCTGCTGACTGGTGGAGTCATAGCCCCTGGTGTGTCCGAGTTCCATGTGTTGCTGCCTCCTACCCTGTTGAGACAGCTCCAGCACACCAGAGTATTGACTGCTAAGCGGCTGCGAGATTTGACCAAGACCCAGGTCCGGAAGCATTTCGTGCGAGCTGCTACCATTTTCATTTCCTTTGAAACCCCACAAAGTCGTCGGAAAGTGATTGGAGGTCGCAGCATGAGGGGTTGGTTGAGCCACAGGTATCCCTTGGGTGTTCATCAAGGAATTCATCCCGACACCCGATACTCGGTTTCGAGAGCCCCATGGTTGATTTGACAGAAGAGAGAGAGCACGGCTTGAGTCAGTGGCTACTGTGATGCATTCTCCCGGAGGAATTCCAGGACCAGGATAACTAGTCCCGCCTGCTGAACCTTGCATGTAAAAGCCGGATGTAGTAATCCCAGAGTTGCTCTGCCACGGCTGTTGGAGAAACTTCCCTGCGTCATTGGCATTTTGAACAACAGGTGCTCGCTCTGACGTTCTTGTTGTTGTCCATGCATCCCTCCCAGAAACCCTTGGGTATGCAGTGAAGTCCATCAGATAGCTTCCAACTTTGTTGCTGTTTTCTATCATTTCAAGTAAAAGATTTTGTAGCAGTTTATGAGTAGGGTTAGAGGAACTGAAAATACACACATTTGACAGGAACAGAGTGCAACTTATGATTCAACCAAGAAAAAAAAGAGTTCAACTAATGATATGATGATGTCTAACCGTAGAGAGATGAAGAAAGTCGGCCAAAACGAGCAGACAATATGGATCCTGGTTGTGGCTTTCTACGACGCTCATTATGCCCAGCCAAACGTCTACGACAACTACGTTTTCCTTGGTCAAATTCAGGAAGCAAATGAAACCTGAGAAATGCAAGGTAAGAATATTATTTATCATTGACGTAGGGACTGAACTAGACTTGATGAAATTTGTAAACTAATAAAAGTAAAAGTAGACATTAACTAGGGTAATTGCTTGTTTAGTTTCACTGTATGCTACCACTGAATGTCTAATACAAATCTAGTCAGAGGAAATGCCCTCAGCAAAAAAGGGGCATGGTTACCGTATAGCAGCATAGGTGAAGGAAATGTTTCATGCTCTCCTTCAATAGGCACGTAATGATTTGTTTTTAACAGCGGACCTACCATCACATGGATCCAATCATAGATCGTGAATCCCCAAAAAAATATCACATTTAATGCTAAATTTCAATCAGATACTTGAACAGCACATTTAAAAGAATGGCAGGGTTACCGTGGTTATCAAATCAATCACAAGGACTTCTATAACTTTAAGAAGTGTAACATCAAATAAACAGCATTGATCAGTTGTTTCAACCCTAGTTGCTAGTCAAATCACTATTGCTGCAAGCGACTCATGAGTCACAATTTGTGGTATATGGGATGAGTAATGTGTTGAACTGTACAGCTCCATGAAAAATAGACTCCATTGTAACTTTTAGCATACGGTCCTTGCAAGTAAAGCATTTAAATGCAACATTTCGGAACACATCATTAAAAATTTAATTCGTTTTTGCAATTTTAGATCCTTGGTTTTATCCTAGTTTCTCAAATCAACGAACTGTTGAAAGTTACACCATAATAATATGATCCAAAAGGCAAAAGCACATGAACTTCCACAAAATATCAAATATAGAGGAGGGGAGTAATATTACGTTCACCTACAAACAATAGGAGACTCTTAGTCTAGGACTTTTGAGCCAATTTTAAAGTCTGGTTTTCGAAAATAGATGTTTAGTTTGGCAAGTTTTAGGGTAGTAACTAAATGGAAATTGTACGATGCAGTGAGTGTTTTCTTTTATCAAACTTATGAACATCTGCAGAAATCAAAAGGACAGCTTTAGAGACCTTTACGGATACCGTACGACAAGTTGATTGGTTCTTATTTGGTTGATTGAGAACCCCCAAAAAAAGAAATTTGAGGATATGCAATGAACTTATTTCCATTAATTACTACTTGCACTACGAGGCTGAACGACATCTATGTAGTGGACAGAGTTGTGCCGATGTAAAAGCCAAGACAAAAACCTTCAAAAGTGTCCTTTTGGCACGCTGCTACAAATTTATAAGACTTGCAGTTTAAAGTCTGGCTTCTAATTCATTATAGGAACTGTTCCTCCACAAACAACGAAATAGACCCAACAGTTACTAAATAGTTCAAGTTTTAAGGAACGCCTACGAGCACAACACGTTGTATAGAACTGATATGTCATCCTCATCCCCAAATATGCACCCCAACTACAAGTAAAACGCAAAAAGCCCCTAACTATTCCACAACAAAAGTAACCAAAAAGCCTTGCACCAACAAAACAGAACAAAATCCATTAACATGAACAAATTCCCAGAGGGCAAGTATTAACCATCATACAATTATGCACAAAACAAAAAAAACAAGAAACTATACTGCCAAATTCACAGCTAACTCCAGAATCCTAGCCAGAAACAACAAAAAGTGAACATCCAAATTCAAAACAACAAATACCCAGCACCCAAAAACGACAACCAAGACCAATTTTACATATAAATTAAACAGAAACAATAATGAACTAGGCATCCAAATAAGGAAACAAGTAAATCCAAAAGGCTCCATCAAGGTCCAAAGCAACCAACACACTGAAGAACAATACCCAAGAACAAGCTACACACACAATATACTCACTCACATATAGAAATTAAGAAATTGGAAACAATTGCTGCTTACTTACAAAGAACCCCACCAAGCACCAAGTACGTAACTCATCATAAATTTAACAGAACTTGAAGGTTGAAACTGTAAAACGTGCAATTGGGGTTCCTCTGCAAATAAGTAAAGAAAATAAACCAACAAGCAAAATTCAAAAAGTTGACTGACCTGCTACACTGTTGGCAAAACCTCTGTTCAAGACCAGCAACAATGACTGTGGGGGTTTTAGAGTGCAAGCCACAGACTTTGTGCCTGGAATAGTAAGCTTTGGCATCACTCAGATCTACCTGGCAGCCTTCTACCTGACACCGCGGCGGCTGACCCAGCTGACCCATATTCCCGCCGCCCCGTTGCTTCTTGGGCGGCGTAGCCCCGGCGGAGGAAGACCCAGCAGCAGAACCGGATGATGATTTGTGCTGAGCTCCAAAACCCACATCCTCAAAGTAGATTGTTTGGCCGAATTTCAGGCCGTTGAGTGACTCGGCTGACGAGTTGGGCGGCGAAGAGGAGGAGGAGCTCCCTGACTCGGTCATAGAACTCGAGCCCATTTTCCTGATTGTCCTCTACAGCCCATTCATAATACTTCTTTTGGGGGTCATCAATTGATAGAGAGAGAGAGAGGGGGGGGGGTGGTTTGGTTTGTTTCTCTCTCTAATGGAGTGGTAGTGAGAGAGTGATAAAGGAATTGAATGTGGAGGGGTAGTGAAAAGCACACATCTGACAGTGGCCCATGCCAGCTCTGATCCTCTCAGTGTGAGAGAGATATATAGTGTTTGTTGGTGCCAAATGTGCGAGTGAGAGAGAAATAGAGAAGTGGTACACTTTGTCTGGGAGGCTCTGTGACTGTACAAAAATAATGGAGCCAAAATGCAGAAAAGAGGAGAGAGAGAGAGAGAGAGAGAGAGAGATCCATAAGGTACCTAATCTCTCTCTCTCAGTGATGAGGGGCACTGAATCAATCAGCTTTACGAGAGACTCCTTTTGCGCGATTGATAATTACTACCATACACAAACTGTCGTTTATAAATCTCTATCACTCTCTATCTCTAAGAATTTCAAGCTTTTTCCTTTTGTTTTGCTTGGATATGGATGCCCATATGCAAGACGGTGCATGGTGATGGGGCCGATTGTTTTTGCATTAGCTTGATAGGAGGTAATGTTCGGTCACCTTATTTATTATTTATTATTATTAGATAAATTTAAATTTTGAAATTTGTGTATATTTATTACATAAATTTTAAAATTTAAACTCATAAAATAATGATGAATAAGGTAGTAAATATTATCATCACTTAAAAAATGGTGAGCAAAAAGACTCCTTATAATTTAGGGAAAATTAGGTTCACATCCTTCTTTTTGTTACTTCATTGATTAAAATCCTATTCATTTTCAATTTTTGATCAAGGTCCTTGGTATTAATAACATCATTAATTATTTGAATAATAAAATATTTTTATTTTTAAATATATTCCTGTAGTGTTAAAAATGTTACAATTAGTATATTTATATTTATGGCTAAATTTTTTATCATATATTTTTATTTTTAGTTTGTACCAATTTTTAATTTGCAAATATTTTTTTAATTTGTACCAATTTTCTTTTCATTTTTAATTTGTACCCATATATTAGTTTCTTTTTGTGCCCATATTTTTTAAAGTTTTATTTGTGTTTGTACCCATGTGTATACCATCACGTGACATTGTATATTTAATCAATGATAGAAAAATTACATATGGTATATTTATGTTTTATGCCTAAACTTTGTACCATATATTTATATTTTTAGTTTGTACCCACTTTTAATTTGCAACATTTTTTTTTAAATTTGTAGTATTTTCTTTTTAGTTTTATTTTGTACCCATTTATTAATTTCTTTTAGCACCTATATTTTTAAAAATTCATTTGTACTCATAATTTTTAATCTTTTATTTGTACCCTAATTTATTTATGATGTACCCATTCTTCTTTAGTAATGTACCACTTTGTTATATGTGAAATGTACCAATTTTTTTGTAAAATATACCAATTTTTTTAACACTATGGATACATTCTTTTGCCATTTATTATTTCTTATTTTTACATAGTTTTTATCCATTTATTCAATTAAAATGTTTGAATTTTTTTTATTATAACCGTTTCTAATAGTATTATAATGAAGGATTTTAAATTTATAGGATTATAAATCTCATAAAATATCAAACAATTAATTGCAAAATAAGAATATAAATATTAATAGTAATATAATGAGGTGTACAAAGTCAAGGGACCTTGATCAAACTTTGAATACTATTAAGGTTTTAATCAAAGAATGTTAAAGATTAGGGACCGCAATCAAATTATCCCTAATTTAGTATTCCACTATGATCAAATTCTTACGCTTTCATTTTTTCTTATATAGTTGGTTCATATAATTAGCACATGAAAAATACTTGGCTACATACATGTCAGGTCTTTCTCAATAATTTGAGTGAATTTGATTCCTATAAACAGGGATTCGGCATTTTGACTTTAATTTTTATAACACAATTGCTATAGTAGTGTGAGCTTATTAGAGCTGAGTTATATCTATTAATTGCGGGACACATATTTTCGAATCTACTACTGGTCATTCTCTTCTCTTTCTTAAAAAGGTGTATTGTATAGGAATCAAAGTTATGAGTTCAAATCTTAAATAACTATATCATAATTATACTCATGAATTTAGTATTACTCTCATAGAACTCAAATTTTACAACTTACTATAGGAGTTTGAATCCTATAAGATTGGAATCAAACTTAATTTTTCATTCTACTATGGACGGCTTAAGGAGATCGAGATGGTCACATGCTGGCCGACACCCAAAGGTGACGCAAGCCATTTATGAATGTAAATGCTAAGAATATGCACCTAATTTGTAGCAAGATAATAAGATGTGACAATTCATAGCAGGAAAATAGTGACATAAATAATATTCAACTACCAACAATGAATTCATAACGATTATGCATGGCATGTTCAGAGCATATTCTAAAACAGATTACAAGTGGTAGGTGCTATTACAAGAGTAGTCAAACAGAGAAGATGGCACGATGTCAATGGTATGGGAATGCCTCATGGCTCAGGTTGTATTCCTCGTACCTAGGTCCTGATGGGGCACAAAACAAACATGAGTGGACCAAGTTGATATATATATATATATATATATATATATATATATATATATATATATAATAAAAATAGTTATCAACATACTAACCCCCAAAGTTTTATGAAAACTAATAGTATAATATGTGATAGGTTTTCCGAAAACCTTAGCATGCCATAAAACCTTTCCGTAAAACATATCTCGTATATAGTGTGTTAACTAGTGATATCATAATCGACCCAAAGGCCCTTACATCACCCGACCTGAAGGCCTAATATATAAATCTTCAATCGACCCGAAGGCCCCTACATCACCTGACCCGAAGGCCAATGTAAGTATCATTGCTCAAAGGTAGAACAGTGACCACTAGATATGCACAAAACATTGAACATAGTCTTTCCAAACATAGGTACATATATATCTCAAAAACATCTTCATAGTATAAAGTCATCCATCATCTATACTATAAAAGTGTGTAAAAACATGTTTTAAATAGTATATCATCATCCATAAGATATCCTAAAAGACCATGGGATCTATAGAAAATATGGTATTCCAAAATATTCTAAGTAAGCATGATAATCATATAAGGTAAATCCAATTTACTCATAAAATGTTATCTAAAACGTGATCATTAAATCATGCCTTTCATGTATGCATTTCTACTATTAAAACATAAATTTTAGAAGGGGTCCACTCACAGATACTCCGAAGTAGATGAGCCGTACAAAATAGGAATGACAGAACCGCTGCTATTAATTGCACCTAAGAACATAAAGAGTACAATTAATAAAACTATACTTAAATGATTTAATTTGGAGAAACGGACGTCATAAATGGGTCCACGGCGTCAGAATTAGCTTAGAAGGGGTTCCGGATGAAACCTGAAAAAGTCAACGGTTAACGGTCAGCATTGACTGGGTCAAAGTCAATAGGTCCGGGTTGGTCAGAGTCAACGGATTGGGTTAACTAGGTCGAATCGGTTTAGGGTTTATGTCTAAACTGGGTTGGGCACTAGGGTTTTAGGCTTTAAGGTTTAGCTAGGTTTAGGGTTGGGCTTAGGTTTTAGGTAGGCTGGGTGAATGGGCCTAAGGCTCGATTTCCAATCAACTCAGGGCCTTATCACTTAGGATTTTGGGTTTGGGTTTCAGGGAAATGGGCTTAGGGCCCAGCCTAAAGGCCAAGGGCCCATGGCGACTAGAAACGAGGTGGTAGAGAGAAAGAAGGTCATCGGGGTGGTAGAGGTGCCGTGCCTTTGTCTGGGTGATGGTGTGGGTGTGGGTGTGGGTGTGGGTGCGCGTGGGTATGGGTGTGGTGTCACCGGGAAAAAATGAGCGTGAGTGCGAGAGAGAGTGAAAGTTAAAAGGGAGAGAACTGAAAGTGAAAGAGAGAAAGAAAAGAAAGATCGAGGAAAAAAAATAGATAAGGGATGAGTTAAGGTGGTGCCACGTGGCAGCGTGGGGGAGAAGGGAAATCTAGATGGAGGGTCCGGATTAAATTAGGATAGAGGACCAAAATGCACATTTTTATATACTTTCAGGGACAAAATGTAATTAAAATTAATAAAGAGGGTAGGGTTTCACAATCTACCCCCTTATAAAAATTTCGTCCCTAAAATTACAACTGAACCAAATAAAAATGGATACTGGCTCCTCATCAACTCATCTGTTTCCCATGCCGCTTCCTTAACGACATGGTTTCTCCACACTACTCCCACCAACGGAATAACTTTGTTCCTTAGTACTTTATCATGTCGGTTAATGATAGCCACTGGTTATTCGACATAGCTCGCATCTTGATTCACTTTCAGTGGTTTCGGTTGGAGGACATGAGAGATCTGATACATATTTCCGGAGCATGGAAACATGAAAAACGTTGTGAATTTGTGCCAACTACGGTGGTAGCTCAAATCTATAGGCAATTACACCAATCCTTTCTGTAACCTGGTAAAGACCAACGTATCGAGAGCTCAACTTTCCTCGTTTACCGAACTAAACTACACCATTCTAGGGAGAAAACTTCAGAAAAACAAAATCACCGACCTTATACTCACGGTCTCTAGAATGTTTGTCTACAATGTTTTTCTGTCGGTCTTGTGCTGCCTTTAGGTTTCTCTTAATCAACTGGATGTTAGCATTAATGGTGTTAACAATTTCTGGTCCCACTAATACCCGTTCGTCGACTTCTGTCCAACATAACGGCATCCAGCACGCATTCCCATAAAGTGCCTCGAAAGGTACCATGCCGATACTAGAATGATAGTTGTTGTTGTATGCAAACTTAACCAACGACAAATAATTATCCCAGCTACCCTTCCACTGGAGAACAGACACTCTCAACATGTCCTCCAATGTCTGAATTGCCCGCTCTGACTGACCATCAGTCTATGGGTGGTAAGCAGTGCTAAACAACAATTGAGTATTCATGGTAGCATTGAAAGCTCTCCAAAACCTGGAGGTAAACCTGGGATCTCTGTATGAAACGATAGAGACTGGTACACCATGAAGTCTGACAATATTATCAATGAACAACTTCGCCAGCTTCTCCAATGAGTAGGTTTGTCGATCAGGCAAGAAGTGAATGGTCTTAGTGAGTCGGTCCACAATCACCTAAATGCCATCAAATCTCGATTGCGTCCTCGGTAACCCATACACAAAGTCCATAGTGATGTCTTCCCATTTCCATGCTAGTAT